AGGCTGCCCCGAAGAGACCCTGCCCTGGGCAGCGAGGCTGTGCCAGGCACTCAGGGCACTGCCACTGCGGAGGCAGATGCCAGCGCTGGGTGGGCGGGGAGGGGTGGGGGGCACAGGGCATGCCCTGAACTTAGGGGCTCCCCAGGAGTGAACTGCACTGCTGGCATGGCCTCCCCCACTGCTCAGCTGTGCTGCGGGCACAGCCCCCCCAAAGTCCATCGCTGGAGGGGCCCTTTCTGCAGCAGAGCCGTACCTGGCCGGCGGCACTGTGTGTGCCTGTGTGCAAGCTGGCGCAAGCAACATGCCCTTGTGGCTACCAGGACCACCTGGCAGCAGTGTGGGTGCATGGTGGGGTGTGTGAGCCCCTGTGGGACATGCATGCTCACGCCTCCCTCCCTGGCATGCAGGGCACTGCGGCAGGACTGCGGTCTGCTGGGAGGACATGGGCTCTGGGCTCTCGTGGCATCTGCTACCTGGGCATCGCTGCCATCGCATGGGGTAAGCCACCTGCCACCCACTCAGTAAGCCCAGCGTGACCCTGTTGCTGAGGAGCCTGCAGGTCTGGGAAACTGGAGAAGGGCAGCAATGTTATTTTGGGGGCTCATCAGCCACACCCCTCATGGCTACCAGACCCAGGGCTGGATCCTTCTGGGCTGGGAGGGGGTTGCGTCTGCCCAGGCCAGCTCCCTCCAGCCAGACCCATCACAGGACCGTGCTCCCCCAGGGAGGGCCAGGCCACGCACAGGGTCCCCACAGGGTGTCTAGTTCCCCAAATGCAGCATGGCAGCTGGTGTATTGTACCATGAACTGGACAAAGGCAGCAGCAGCTCTACTCCCTGCCTATGCCCATGCCCATGCTGCAGAGCTGGGCACAGACGTAGCCACAGGACCCACAGGTGCAAGTGTTGGGAGCACAGCTGGGGCAGCACCATGCAGAGTTAAAGCTGCTAATTGACATCAGTAGAAGAAATCAGAGTAGAAACTAATTTGGTTTTGCTGCCTGTAGGATATTTCCTTCACATGTTGGCATTGCACAGAGCAAAACCTGCCGTTGCCTGCTCTGTCCCTAGAGATCCTCCGCGAGCTGGGTTCTTTTCCAAAGGACCATTCGTGATTGAGCTAAGGAACAGAGGCAAATGCAGAAGTGTCAGGAGGAGGCTGAGATTCAGCTCTGAGGGGAAAACAAAAATGCAAAGGCACCCTGAGTGCAGTGGGCGCTGAGCACCGCCCTGGGGGGAGGCATCGGGGGCTGCCAGGGGAGCCGAGAAGTTGAAACGCAGGCAAACAGCACCCCCCTGGGGGTTCAGCTCCAGGTGGGGCAGGGAGAGGTAACATAAGGCTGAGGTGAAGGAGTGGGGATGAGCTGTGCTACAGAAAAGGGTGTTACTGGTAGAGCTGGAGGAAATAGGCAGGACAGCATGTGGAGTATGGGCACGTAGCAGATGGGGTCCCTTGGTTCTTCTCAGTTTAGGGATGGGGTGTGCAAGGGTAGCAGGGTGGCTGCCCTGAGCCGTGCTGGGGAGGTAGTGAGGGACAGGAGGTGGGTGGTGGGAGCTGAGGATGGGGCAGGCTCCCAGGAGGTGCCCTGAGCTTCTGTCCTGCAGCCCCAAACTCCCAAGGGGTGAAGAGGAGGGCTGTTGTTGAAGGCCACATTTTCCTCAGCTTCGGTTTTGTTGAACAAAATGGATAGTTTGCTCTTTCACATGGAAAAACAGGCAAATTATGGGAATTTTGCTTAGAAAAATGCATAATTATTGACCAAACTAGAGCCCTAATTAGACTTGGGAAGCCCTAGATTTGCATCTAATCTGTGATGCCCAGACCTTTGCCTGCATGACCACAGCGTGATACGCTCTCCTGAGACACAGGGTACCCCCAGGCTGGTTGTCTGGAGAAAACTTTGATCCCCATCTCACTTTCTGCACAGATGGAGATACGATCCCCGTATCACTTTCTGCAGTTGTGGAGATAGCTGCTTCTGGGGAGGAGGGAGGAAGCTTTTTTTTGTGGCTAAAACCCTTTGATTGCATCAAGTTGTGGTGTGAAATGCTGTAAATAAGAGCAGGGTTTCAGCAAAGTGCCCTTCACTTCTGGGTGTGGGTTCCGGTTAATCTCTGCCTTTGCCCTGCCTGGGTGGGCATGACCAGGGTGTGAACTTGACTTTTGCAAGACGTTGTTTTGCAATACTGAATTTTACAAGACTCTTCAGACCACCTCTGGCTTGGATGAGCAGCTCGGGAGCCAAATGCTTTTGGGCGCTCGTTGTTCTGCCTTGCTCCAAGGTGACTCTCATGTAGAAGTGTAAAGCAAGAAAACGAAAGTGGTACACTTCTGTGCTTGAGGAAGGAACCATGTTTAAGGAATCATCTCTATGTTGGGTTTTCCTCTTTGGGAAACCTTTGTGAGCAGGGGAGTGCGGCTGTGGAGCTGGTCTTTCACCCCTTGTGCTGGAGGAGGGGTTGGCATCACCGCTTGGGACTCTTCTGCCACCTGTGCTCTGCCCACCCCATCCCATGCTGCCCTCTGTCTCAGCCTTCACCCCATCTCCCCCACCTTCCTCATCCCTGTGCTGTCCCCCTGTCCCACCTCATTTCCTTCTGTCATGCCTGATCCACCCAGGTCTTTGTGTACTCTTAGAGCCCTGTTCTCACCCACGCTTGTCCCTTCCTCCCATCCCCTCTCCCAGCTGGTTGCCGGCATCTCTTGGCTCTGATGCCAGCCCTAGCTCACCTTCATGTCCCAAGTGACCCCATCCCCAACCTGGGTCCCATCCTTTCTGTGTCGATCCCGGACCTCATCCTCTCTCGCAGGCACAGTAACGCGGGTGGAGGTGGGCGCCTGGACGTACCACTACAGTGACCAAGGAGACTACACATGGGAGCAGGCCAGGAACTACTGCCAGACCTTCTTCACTGACCTGGTGGCGATCCAGAACAAGCGGGAGATTGAGTACCTCAACGAGAGCCTGCCCTTCCATGGGCGCTACTACTGGATCGGCATCCGCAAGCTGGGTGGCATCTGGACCTGGGTGGGTACCAGGAAGGCGCTGACAAAGGAGGCGGAGAACTGGGCAGCCGGGGAGCCCAACAACCGCCGCTCCAACCAGGACTGCGTGGAGATCTACATCAAGCGGCAGCAGGAGTCGGGCAAGTGGAACGACGAGCCCTGCAACCGGAGGAAAAAGGCACTGTGCTACCGGGGTGAGCAGGGCAACTGCAGCACAGACCTGGATTGGGTGGGCTGGGGACCTCGGCAGGGTGGCCAGTGGCTCTTGATAACCATCCTCTGTGTGTGCAGCCTCCTGCCAGCCCTTCCCGTGCAGCCAGCATGGCGAGTGCGTGGAGACCATCAGGAGCTACCGCTGCGAGTGCTACCCCGGCTTCCACGGCCCTGAGTGCGAGGACGGTGAGCCACCCACCCCCATCCCTCCCTCCCTGCTGGAGAGCCTGAGCCCCGGCAGCAAAGCAGGCAAGTTCGTTATGCTCCTAATGGGCTGGTGGCACTGTGTCTCTCCCAGTTGTGCAGTGTGCCGAGCTCAAGCCCAAGGGAGTGCGCATGAACTGCAGCCATCCCTTCAGAGACTTCAGCTACAACTCCACCTGTGCATTCAAGTGCCAGGAGGGGTTTGAGCGGCGAGGGGCAGGCACGCTGCGGTGTCTGCCTTCCCAGCAGTGGTCAGCAGAGACCCCCACCTGCACAGGTAGGGCCTGCCAGGGGCTGGTGGTCTCAGGGATGTGGTACTGATGCTTTGGGGGGCCAGCCCTGCATGCCCAACGTTGCTCAGGCAAGCAATGGGCTGGGCTTGCTGTGCGCCCACCCTTTGGGGAAGCAGCTCCTGGCGCTGCATGCAGGGAGCAGTTCCCTGATGAGGCTGCAATGGGTGCAATCCAGAGTGGCTGTGAGCTCTGGATAAGCCCCCTGCTCTCCCCAGCTGTCCCCGTGCTCTTGCTCCCTGTCCTGAATCACACCCAGGCACCAGCATCCTGCATGCACCGCGTGTGGGGTCAGGACGGTGTCTTGGCACCTTCATCATCACCCCGGTGGCACCATCTGCTCCTCTCCTGAGGGGATGGTGCTTGGCATCACGGGGGTCCTCAGAGAAGAGCGAAGGGGGGCTGCCGTCCCGCAGCTGGAGGAAGGGTGTATGCTGGCAGGGCTGGGCCACCACGAGCGGTGCGAGGACTGGTGAGATGAGGTTAGGTATAAGCTGGGAGGGACAGAGTAGGGCAGGAAGCCGCAAAGGAGAGCGAGCTGCGGTACATTATGCTGCAGGGGCAGGGAAAGTCTTCCCGTTGGTGGCTCGAGGGTTTGCAGCCAGGTGCCGGGTGCCCCAGAGAGGTGCTGGGCTTTCTGGGCGGGGGAGCACTGAGAGCCCTGCTCCACCTTCCCTGTGCCGCTGCATGGTGGATCTGCAGCCTTGCACAAGGATGGGACGAGTCGAAGACTGGAGCAGACACGGGACACAACTGGGGACCCTCTGTATCAGGAGACCCAGCAGGAGGGGTCAAGGGGTGGGCAGGGTCTTTGTATATATATAATTAAAAAAAAAAAAAAGCCTGCCTTGAAGTTAGTGCTGCCGATGACACCTGTGCTGGGTGCACCTGTGGTCCAACCCGGGACTTGTTTTAGGCAACTGAGACCAGCAAAGCTTTCTGCAGTTAAGGGGAATGGGCACGGAGATGTGATGTGACTGTCCCATGGCCAGCATCCTCAGAGGTGGCAGGGTCAGGAGCTGGCTCCCAATTTTGTGGAAGTCCCCCCAGGCAAGCTGGGCTGAGCCTGCCCGCTCCAGGCTTTTCAAGTTCCCAAAGGCTTGCTTTCCCAGCTCATTGTTTTTTCCAGCTGGCTGTATGTATGATTGATTTTTCTTTTTTGCAAAGAATCAGATAAGTCAGTCAGTCACCCTTGCTGATAACGAAGCTGTGTTAGCAAGCATTGCCAGTTGGGTTTACTCCAAAAATGAGCAGAGGCTCCTGCTGTGGCGAGGCTGACGGTGCTGCGGGCACCACGAGGGACGAAGCTGCCTGCCCTGCCCTCATGCTCCCTGCCCTGTGTCTGCCTGCAGCCATCACGTGCCCCCAGCTGGCTGCCCCCGAAAGGGGCCAGGTCAATTGCTCCCACCCGCATGGCACGTTTGCCTTCAGCTCCATGTGTGCCTTCTCCTGCCAGGAGGGGTTTGAGCTGACGGGAGCGCGGAGGCTGCGGTGCACGGCTGGTGGGGTCTTGATGGGTCCCCCTGCCCTGTGCTGCAAAGGTGGAGCCCGGGCTGCCTGCTGGGGGGTGCCTCAGCGCTGGGTTTTGGGGCCCCGATAGACAGCTCTGGGAATTCTGTGGGAAACCAGGCTTGCCTGTAAAATAGCTATGAAAGGAAAAGTCTACCAAGGAAAGTGGTGTCAGTCTGAAAGCAGAAGGTGCAGGGAATGGGGTCTGTCTCACCCAGGCTGGGTGCCGGTGGTGTTAGATGTCTTCCTGGCACTAACCTGTGGTGGTCCCGCAGACAGCGGAGCCGCTCGCCCCAGCAACTGTTGGATGCTGTCCCAACATGCAGCAAAGCACACCCCGGGCACAGCCTGGGGAGGCTGGCACGCAACCCCTATAGCTATTTCAGTCAGCCCCTCCTGGTCCCCTACAGCCTCACAGCCATCTGGGTGTCCTTCCCCCTGCTGCTGTGGCAAGGGTGGAGGCAGGTCTCCGCTCCCCTCCAGGGAGAGAGGCAAGTAGGACTGCAGCAGCTGTGGTCCTGCGTCCCGGGGACTGCAACCCAGGGTAGTGCAGGGGATAAACAGGGCTCTGGCAGAGCAGCAACTGCCCCCCCAGGAAATCACTCATATGGCAGAAAAATCATTGTACCAACTATGTTATGACTGTTTTTGAAGAGGTGAGGCTTGTCTGGGTGAGAAAGGTAAATCAAAGACATATCACCATAGATTTGGTTTTATTTGATTGGGAGTCAGCCCTAATCCCTAGATTTAACCTCATCTATCCTGTCTCTGAGACCTGCTCTCCCATTGCAGCCATCACCTGCCCAGTGCTCAGTGCTCCAGACCGGGGAGAGCTGAACTGCTCCCACCTCCATGGGGACTTCACCTTTGGCTCCACGTGCACCTTCTCCTGCCAGACAGGGTTTGCACTGATGGGGTCGGAGAGCCGCAAGTGCGTGGCCACAGGGACATGGACTGGGGATGCCCCACGATGTGAAGGTAGAGCTGCTGCTAGAGCTCAGGGTGCCATAGGCCTTGGGGTGACATTAAGATGTTCCCCAGCCTCTTGGTCCCAGCAGTTTAGTCTCCCAGTCCCCAGGTTCCTGCTTGCAGTGTTCCTCTTCACACTGCAGCCATGGCCTGCCCGGTGCTCAGTGCTCCAGACCGGGGAGAGCTGAACTGCTCCCCCCTCCACAGGGATTTTGCCTTTGGCTCCACATGTGCCTTCTCCTGCCAGACAGGGTTTGCACTGGGGTGGTCGGAGGGCCGCAAGTGCGTGGCCACAGGGACATGGACTGGGGAGTCCCCACGATGTGAAGGTAGAGTTGCTGCTCAAGGTGCCACAGGCCTTGGGTTGCCCCTAGGATGTTCTTGGGTGTCTTGGTCCTTTCACTCCAACAGTTTAGCCTCGTAGTCTCCAGGGTCCTGCTTGAAGTGTTCCTCTTCACCCTGCAGCCATGGCCTTCCCGGTGCTCAGTGCTCCAGACCGGGGAGAGCTGAACTGCTCCCACCTCCATGGGGACTTTGCCTTTGGCTCCACATGTGCCTTCTCCTGCCAGACAGGGTTTGCACTGGGGTGGTCGGAGGGCCGCAAGTGCGTGGCCACAGGGACATGGACTGGGGATGCCCCACGATGTGAAGGTAGAGTTGCTGCTCAAGGTGTCACAGGCCTTGGGTTGCCCCTAGGATGTTCTTGGGTGTCTTGGTCCTTTCACTCCAACAGTTTAGCCTCGTAGTCTCCAGGGTCCTGCTTGAAGTGTATCTCTATCCCTGCAGCCATCGCCTGCCCGGTGCTCAGCGCTCCAGACCGAGGAAAGCTGAACTGCTCCCACCTCCACAGGGATTTTGCCTTTGGCTCCACGTGTGCCTTCTCCTGCCAGATGGGGTTTGTGCTGATGGGGCTGGAAAGCCGCGAGTGCACGGCAATGGGGACCTGGACTGGGTACTCCCCACGCTGTGAAGGTAGAATTGCTGCTAGAGCTCAGGGTGTCACTGGCCTTGGGGTGACACTAGGATTTTCCCCAGCCTCTTGGATGCAACAATTTAGTCTCCCAGTCCCCAGGTTCCTGCTTGAAGTGTTCCTCTTCACCCTGCAGCCATGGCCTGCCCGGTGCTCAGTGCTCCAGACCGGGGAGAGCTGAACTGCTCCCATCTCCATGGGGACTTCACCTTCAGCTCCACGTGTGCCTTCTCCTGCCAGATGGGGTTTGTGCTGATGGGGCCAGAGAGCCGTGAGTGCACGGCCACAGGGACATGGACTGGGGAGTCCCCACGATGTGAAGGTAGAGTTGCTGCTCAAGGTGTCACAGGCCTTGGGTTGACCCTAGGCTGTTCTCCAGTGTCTTGGTCCTCGTCCCAACAGTTTAGCCTTGTGGCCCCCAGACTCGTGCTTGAAGTGTGCCTCTTTACCCTGCAGCCATCGCCTGCCCAGTGCTGAGCGCTCCAGACCGGGGAGAGCTGAACTGCTCCCACCTCCACGGGGACTTCGCCTTCGGGTCCACATGTGCCTTCTCCTGCCAGACGGGGTTTGCACTGACAGGGCCAGAGAGCCGTGAGTGCACGGCCACAGGGACATGGACTGGGGAGTCCCCACGATGTGAAGGTAGAGTTGCTGCTCAAGGTGGCACAAGCCTTGGGTTAACCCT